GAGTTCGGGCATCCTGTTCTAAATCCATCCGGAGTGGCACTCTGCTGTGGGTTACTGACCTACATTTGATGCAGTTTCTTGGGGAGGAGATTTACATGAGTTTTCCCCATGTTTTCCCTAAAAGAAACCAATTAAATCCACAAATACCTTCTGCATCTGGAGCTGCATGGAGGAATTTGGCAGGCCAAGGAAATTTTAACCTCAAGAGTATGACTTGACAAGCTGCTAGAACATTTTGAAATATTACATTGTTTGGAATATTCCAGGCGAAGGCTGGGAAAGCAACAGTTATCGGCTTCCCCGTGAAACCCCAGACACAAACTCTGTAATGTACTTTTATTAATTTACAAAAACAAAATGATGAATTATGGGTTCATATTTACTCTCCTTAATCAGCTTTTTTTTACTGTTGTAATTTTCTAACCAACTTGTTGAACGTTTGGGCCGGATGTTAGGAAGAGGAGCCGCCGCTCTGCGTGCAAATGTGCATTTCCAGGGGTTAGCATTAGTTGAGCACCAATAGATGTGCAGGGCACAGTCTTCTGCTGAAATGCACGTGTACATGTCCAACGCAGGCTCCGAGCTGGGCTAGCTTCAGGTAAGGGGGCTGAAACAGAATGAGCTTCCTGCTCATCTGTCCATCAGTAGGGCTGGGTGGCCCTGCCCCAAAAATCTGCAGGTTGCCTGCCATTTGAGAGGAAAAGGGCCATTTGCCGCCATGCATCAGCCTGGTCTTCCCAGCTGTCAGTGCCCCTCAAAAGCATGGTTCCTGATCGAGTGAGTAAGGGCATCCTGCACCAGCTAGTGCTGTTTCACCCTGGGACTTGCACCAGGAAGGTTTGAAGGAGAGTGCTCAGTGGAAATCAGCCGGTCTCCCCACCCCACCCGCTCCCACCCTGTGGGCCTGGATTCCTGTGGGATCTCTCTGGGGAGCTTCTGGGGGGGTCTAGAGAAAAGGGGAGTACACTGCCAAGCCCCTCCTCCTTAGTTGCCCCGCCAGCCCAGCTCCAGCAGTCTCTGCAGAACGGGTGTGCGAGGAGTGTGGCCGGTGTGCAAAGACCCACCTCGTCGTGATGATTTCGCCTGGGGCTGGAGCCAGAGGCCATGCCTGTTTTGGGCCTATCCCTCTGCTACTAAGGGTACGTCTGCCCTGTAATCTGAGGGACAATTCCAGCATGGATGGACATAGCTACCTAGGTTTCCCCATTTTAGCATGGCTACAAACAGCAGCCTAGATGCTGAGACACTGGCTTCTGCATGGGCCGTCCAAGCCCGCTGAGGACCTTGAGGTCCTCATGTTGCTAGCCTGTACCACTGCGTCTGTGCTTTGGTTTTCACTGGTTTTCACTCTGCTGCGGTCATGCCTCAGATTGCCAGGTCGACCTGTTCTGGGATAAGCCAATGGTGAGGTTTTAGGCATTCCAAGAGGTACCGGCAGGGCAAACACAGCGAGTATCCATGAGGAACTTAAAAGGATCTGGAGAAGAAAACACTGTTTATATTTCAGTCTAAACAACAATTTGGTCTCGGCATCATGAAAAATAAACTTTCACACGCTACTGATGTTTTTCTTCGTTACAAAGCCTATCGGATGTTTGAACAAGCAGGGCAAAGGCGCTGTCAGAAGTGGTTATGTACAGTGCAGCTGGCAGCAAGCTCTGTGGCTGCGGGGCGAAGTTCTCTCCACTCCCGTCCAGGAGCAGGTGAGCACAGGGCTATTGATCAACAAGGTGGGCTTGCGAAAACGTGCAGTTTTTCTCCTGTGTGCTAGGCACATGGTGTCCGCCGCGCTCTGAAAAGAGTCGCATTTGTGTTGTGCACTCGTGCCAGGCGCGCTCTACGGAGGTGTTCAGTGCTAATTATCAAAGAGAGAGCACGGAGCGCCTAGGGAAATGCAACTCGTGACGGCTTTAAAAAAGTTACGTTCCTTCTTGTAGTCTGGAGCATCATGATATGAGCTAGGCGAAAGCTTCCATTGTCAATGGTTTCTAATTACATGGCACCTTCTAAACAAAGTGTGGACAATTTTCTGTTTTAAAATTTTTTTCAGATTTTTTTTTTTATTTTAAGCCTGAACATTTTTAGACTTTTTTTTCTTTTGTAGTTTTTGTTTCTGCCCCTTATCCCCTGATCTTTTCCAGTGGCTAAAGAGAAAGAAGGGGGAGGTGGAAAATCCCCCAAACTGAATTGAAAACATTTTTATTTTTTTGTTTTAAAAACAAATTGTTTTTCATCAATCATTGAAAAATTTTGAAACTTCCCATGAAGAATTTCAAGAGAACAAGGCTGTTTTTTTTAACACTCCCCCCCCCCCCCAACATACCATTTTTCAGCTGGCTCTGATTCTGATTTACAGTCCACAAATCTTAGAGATGGTCCTGTGCTAGTGGGGATGTGTGGGTGGGGGAGTTACCCTCCCTCTAGGGTGAATTCTATATCTTCCTGAAAGATGTGTGTGATGCTCTGGCTTGAGGATTGCAGCTGTGCTGTTTATCTGCCCTTGGCACATGGTCTCCCTGGGACGCTCGACTGTTTTTGTTTCATACGTTGATCCCCAGAGCAGCGTCACCGTCCTATCAGTAGATTCTAAATCCTGGGCACGTCCGTTCAGTCGTTCTGTCCATGAAGCACTGGGTTAGGTGCGCTGCAGTGAAGAGAGGAAATAAGGGAGTTTCGCTGTTTTTCAGTCGTGTTGTGTTGTGCGGTAAGGGCCAGGTTTTACTACACGTTGAATCAAAAGCAAGTCTGCCAAGCAGTGTGGTTGATTTGCTTTCTAGGGAATGGGATGTTTGTGCAAGGAGCCAGCACTGGAAACGGATATCCCCAGAGAGATCCCACAGGAATCCTTCGCCGCAGGCTCCACTTGGAGTGAGAGGCCAGGTCAGTCTCCAGGGCCCATTCAGCCCCAGGAGTCTCTGCAGAGGGGTTTTTAACAGCAGTCGCTGGATTTCTGAGCAGATGTTAACTGCCATCAGGGGAGCATGGTGTGGCGTCTCCCCTCCCCTATTCTCTTGAACAGGTCCCTTCCATGTCGCTTGGCTCGAGAGGCTCCCCTGGTCTCTAAGGGAACATGCATGGGAGATACCGTTTGCCCTACTCAGCTACCCCCACAGAAGGGAGGAGAGCCCTGGGCCCCCGGGACTGGAGCCCAGGTCTCCAGCTCTTCGTGGCTTTTGTATAGATCAGCGGTTCTCAAATTTTTGCAACCCAAGGAACCCCATTTTGATTTAAATTTTTTCACGGACCCCCAAGCCAGCTTCTAATTTTCCCCAGAGGTGCTCAACCCCCACTCATCCCTCAGACCCCTTCCCCACTCCACCCCTTCCCCACAAGGCCCCACCCCTGCCCCTCCTCTTCTCTGCCTCTTCCCCCGAGCATGCTCCATCCCCGCTCCTCCCCCGCCCTCCCAGCACCTCCTGCATGCCACTGAACAGCTGCTCCGTGGCATGCAGGAGGCACTTGGAGGGAGTGGGAGGAGTTGATCAGTGGGGCTGGCAGCCTCGGTCATGACTTGCGGACCCCCTGGAGTACTCTCACAGACCCCAGTTTGAGAACTGCTGGCATAGATGGTCTGTTTTCAAGAGGGCTGCGAGTCATCAAGCCAAGCAGCCAATAATGCTGCGTATGAAGCATTGCAAACTCAGCTCTGCACGTGGCTTATGAAACCCAGATCCCGGCAGGCTATTTCCCCCTACGGATTGTTCCTTGCAATATGGGCTGTAGCTCGCAGTCCTGCCAGGGAAGGCACCTGACTGGACTGGCTTTGGGTAATGCATTGAAGCAGAGGAGAGCTGCAGGCTTAGACGCGATGAGAATAAAACCAATGTCCTGCTGGCTGCTGAAAGCGTTCAGGGCTGGAGGTGGGCAGGCCAGTGCAGACACTTGTATCTGATCACCAGTTGCCTCCCTCTCCTTTCTATACTCCGGTAACAAGGTGTCCAACTCCTACACAGGGCAGTAGTCGTGGCTCGAACAGGCCTGCACTTGTGCACCCCCTGCCGCCCAGTGCACCTGTGGATCCAGGCACTCCTGGGGGTGTGTGCAGGTGTGTGATTAATCTGTTACAAGGGGCAGAGCCCAATCCCATCTGGGTTGGCAGAAGACTCTCTTTCCCTTCCCTCTCACACAGCTTGCTCCGGCCTGGTCTCTGCTTCGAGAGCTGACTCTAGCTGGCTCCCCCGGCAGCGGAAAGCGTGGATGCTGGTGTGTTAAGGCACTAGGTAGGCGTTCAGGAGCTGCGTGAGCATGTGACATACCGGCAGAGGGTCAGAGCTGAGCCCAGGATGACAATTCAGTTGCATGGCAACAGTCGAGGTTTTTTGTGTTTGTTCCATGCTGGAGCAAAACCAGAATGTTTCAGCCCTCTTCCCCAGGCTGGACTTGTGTCAATGTCCATTTTCGGATGGATAGTGGAGCTGGTGACTTGGGGCTAGGGGTGGTCAGAGCACTCCCCTGGCACGTGGAAGACCAGGCTCTAGTCCCTGATTTGGAATGAGCAGGCTCTGAATTAGGCGGAGCAGGGACTCAAACCTGGCTCTTCCCCGTCCCAGCCAGTGCCCTAGCCAGGAGATAGAGTACGAGAGAGACTCTCTCTCCCCTTTCTGATGAAAATGTGGTCAAAAGTGATATGTCTCCACGACCTGGTTAGGCTGTGAGGGAACAGCAGAGGGCCATTCCCACCAGCTCTGTAAAGGGTGTTGTGTTTGGTGATCTGGTACTAGCAAGAAAGGCTGATCCAGCAGGCAGGGCACTAACAAACCTGGCTTCAATTCCTGGCTCAGGCCTGGCTGTGCCTCAAGGCTCGGCAGTGCAGTGGGACAGGCGCGCTGCCCTGCCCGCCAGGTGACTACGGTAATGGCCACGAGGTGTGCGGCTCACGTAAGCGCCTGAGAGAAGGGGTGAGAGAGCAGCCCCAAGTCTCCAGAGCCCCAAAGTCACCAGAAGGGGGGCAGCTCCCTGCAGCAGCCCCCCCCCCCCCCGAGTGCTGCTTCTCAGGGGGGCGGTATTTGATCGTTACGGCTGAGGGCTGTCCGGGTTGTGGCAGGCAGTGGGCAGGATCTGGAGGGCGGCCTGGACCTTCTGCCTGCCGGTTGCAAAGGCTGCAGCGGGCTGCTGGGCAGGTCTGAGGGAGCCGGTGCTCCAGAGCCAGGGGTCTATGCGGAGCAGCAAGAGGCCCGCAGACGTGCTGGTGGTGGGGGCTGTGTGGTGCAGGCCGCCTGCAATGCGGGAAGCTACAGCAGGAGGAGCATGGAGCATTTGAGGCAGAGAAGAGCTTTCTGCCCTCTGGGCACATTTAAAGGCAATGTTCAGCACTGGGCCGGACGATTCCCAGCGCCTGAGAGGGCAGCTGCGATTAGCCACTGGCAGCCTGCAGTGAGCAAACCCGAGAGCCATTGGCTGGTGGGCATTGCCCTGAGCCTGGGGTGAGCTCTGCATGGCAAGTGCCCTGTCTCGTTGGGAGGAGCGGTCACGTAGCCCCAGCGGAGGTGCCAGAGGAAAGCAGACTTCTAACAACAGGACAAAATGTTTGCAGCGCTTGTGAATGTTTAGCTTGCACCAATCCTCTTGCACGAGTGTCTTCAACGAAATAACATACAAGTAAAAGAAGCACGAAATGGGAATGATGGGGAAGCACATTCATGTACACAATTTGCTGTGAGTTGTGTCTGGGTTTGAACGTGCAGGCTTACAGCTCTGCCGTGCTTTTAGACCATGGGCTTGTTGCTTTAACTCGTAGCATGATTCTTCTCGCTGCTCTGGGATTTGCTCTGCTGCAGACTTAGACTCTTGTGCATCATCTCACAAGCAATGTACCTGTTTTAAGACACTTGGGTAATATATGTCCATATTGTGTATCAGAAGGCAGCAGCCCTCTGAGTTTTTCCTTCACTCACGAAGTAAATATTTTCCCTCTGTGAGTCCTTCTCAGAGTGTCCCCGGCTGCTTCCCACAGTCTACATTACCTTCTGCCCATTTTACTCCCTTTGTTGACTTTCCTGTTGTTTCTTTAGTTAGCACAAATATCTACTGCTCTCTTGAATTTGTTGTCAAAGACTGAGAATCCTTTAAAGAAAGTGGGATTTCCCCCCTGAAAACCATTAACTACAGAGAGTGTATGTGTATTTCCCCAGTATAAGGAACCCACTATCTATGCTAGCAAAACAGCTCAATATGTTTATGCAAATTTCATTTTGTTCTTGTTTCTCTCCTTTTCTGATTCACTCTGTGAACTGACATGATCTTGGATGGGGGATTCGCAATCAGTTTTGCTGCCAAAAAAAAAAAAAATTCAACAAACTGGCAAGTGTTCATATTTCAGTCCTGAAGTTACGTAGGTTAAAGTCTCCTGGTGCAGACAACAGAATGTATCGGAAAGAAAGCAGAGAGCTGGAGATGTTGCCTGCTAGAAGGAAAGTGGAATAAGGGACCACGTTATTCTATATCTATCTCCAGCTTGAGTTCTGACACTTTTAAGGTAAGTGGAAGTCACTTCTTGTTTACTTATTTATCTACTGTAAAAAAATTTGTTAAAAATACATTGCTTTACCTACAATGATGCGATGTCATGCTGCTTTAAATGGAAGCATAGCAAAAATAAGTAGAATACTTTACAAAAAATAAAATACAATGAAAATAAAAAATCTGAAATGAATCATTTAAGAGCAGACAGCTGGGCATGTAGAAACAGCTGGTGCTAATTCATGATAATTTATCTAAACGTAAACATAAAACAGTCTTGCTGACAGTAAATCAAACAGATAAGACTTCATGACTCTATTTCCAACACTTCATTCTGGTTTCAAAATACAGTAGGCATGAGAAAAAGATGATCTATACAGTTAAAAACCAAAAACCAAACCAGAGCCCTCACCATGGTGGAGGAACTGTTTAATAGTACACTGGATCTTAAACTCAGTTTGTGACTTTAAGTGAAGAAGCATTCATCTGCTGCCAATTTTATTCTTATTACATTATGATAACCATGTATTTAAAAGTTTGTTTTACCAGATTTTTCTAGGAAGTGTATTATTTACTGTAGTATTAAAATATTTTGTGCAAACCGTACATGATCATGCATGAGAAGAATTGGCTAAAGTTGTTAGAATGATAGAAAATACTGAGACTTTTTGAGGCTGTCATTCACTCTTGGTTAAATAAAACAGCATTGTTAGGGATAGACCCTGCAGCCCTTACCCCATCAAAACTCCCAGTGTCTTACAGAGACCCTGGCTAAGTCTGAAATGGCTGCATTTATACCTTGCAAGGATTTTTAGTAGCATAAATATAAATAGTTCCATGAGTATTTAAACAAACAGCAAGTGTAGTTTTATCTTACGTAATGACGAATAATGGAATGTCATGGCGACGTCCTTTTTATTGGTTAAACTCTTACATAAGAATGGCCAGACTGGGTCAGACCAAAGATCCATCTAGCCCAGTATCCTGTCTACCGACAGTGGCCAATGCCAGGTGCCCCAGAGGGAATGAACAGAACAGGTAATCACCAAGTGATTACCGTCCCCTGTCACCCATTCCCAGCTTCTGACAATCAGAGGCTAGGGACACCATCCCTGGCCATCCTGGCTAATAGCCATTCATGGACCTATCCTCCATGAACTTATCTATTTCTTTTTTGTTATAGTCCTGTTATAGTCTTGGCCTTTGCAACATCCTCTGGCAAGGAGTTCCACAGGTTGACTGTGCGTTATGTACAAAAATATTTCCTTTTGTTTGTTTTAAACCTGCTGCCTATTAATTTTATTTGGTGACCCCTAGTTCTTGTGTTATGAGAAGGAGTAAATAACACTTCCTTATTTACTTTCTCCACACCAGTCATGATTTTATAGACCTGAATCCCCCCCTTAGTCGTCTCTTTTCCAAGCTGAAAAATCCCAGTTTTATTAATCTCTCCTCATACGGAAGCTGTTCCATACCCCCTCATAATTTTTGTTGCCTTATTCTGAACCTTTTCCAAGTCCAATATACAAAGTGATTAATGCTCTGCTGGGTGTGCAGGTGGAATAAACGTTGAATTGAAATTGCACATGAAGTAGGTCCCCGAAAGGTGTGTGACTGAGGTCTGTCTTTTATTCCTGTATTCATGGCTGTGCGTTGCAGTTGCTCCTCTGTTGTATAACTGAACTGAAGGCCAGTCCTGCTCCCACTGAAGTCCACTGACTCAACTTCCACTGACTTCACTGGGAGCAGGAGCAGGCCCTTGCTTCCCTGACACGTTGTTCTCTCCCAGTGAATACGCAGCACGGGGAGTGCACGAGTTATTGTGTGCCATTTGCAAGCCTTGTAGCCTTCTCCATGCCTTAATTGCCCACCCCATGAAATGGAGCTAATCCTCACCTCACTTGTGAGGTGGCTGGGAGGCGAGATGAATGTCTGTAAAGCTCTGTGAGCGCTTTGCGTGGGTGTGCAAAGAATGATTGTTTTCTGTCAGCTGTGAGAAAGATGGGAAACAGGATGAGCACGTGGAGAAAAGGGTCAGGAGGAGCCCAGCCTGGGCCTTGTCCTGAATCAAAGGGCTTTCCCTTCTTCTGCCCACAGCAAGAACCTCCTCAGAATCTCAGGAAAAAACCCAGAACCTCAGCCCTTTGCTAGGCCTAATTAGGACGTACCATCACCCCTCTCTGGTGCTAATCGCACCCTGTCATTGGGATAGAAGCTCTGAGAATAGCAACGGTGATTTTGTTGGCTACGTGTGGCTCTAACGCTTGTTTTATAATCTGCAGGGGAACAATGTGGTGATAAAGGTGGTGACAAATGCTAGCACAAGCATTTCCAGCAGTGACTATCTCCTCGCCAATACCCAAGATGTACAGTAATTACTCCAGGCTCAACACTACGGAAGAAACACTTCAAGATGTACATTACTCTGCTACAAACGTATCGACTGAGCAGATGTCTCCCTCCTCCTGTCCACTTCTATATTCAGATTATCAATTTACACTGATTCCGGTGCTCTACTGCGTTATCTTTATCCTTGGACTTGCTGGCAACAGCGTGGTGGTCGTGGTACTCTGTCGCCACCACGGCCCTAAAACAGTTGCTAATATTTACATTTTCAATCTGGCCATGGCCGATTTGTTGTGCCTAGCCACACTCCCCCTTTGGTCAGCCTATTATGCCTATGGATACAACTGGCTTTTTGGATCTGTGATGTGCAAAATTTCAAGTTCCGTTCTGTCTCTGAACATGTTTGCAAGTATATTTTTCATCACCTGCATGAGCATGGACCGGTACCGAGCTATTGTCTATCCTATTCGGTCGCAAAGGAGAACACTGCAGCAAGCGTCGTTGATAGCATTACTTGTTTGGGGCCTAGCTTGTTTGTCTTCCCTGCCAACGTTTTATTTCCGTGACATGTACTTCATTGAAAGCTTGGGGGTGAATGCTTGCATTATGGCTTTTCCCTATGAGAAGTATGCAAAGTGGTCTGCTGGAACAGCCTTAATGAAAAACACTCTTGGCTTTTTGATTCCTTTAATTGTCATAGCCACATGCTACGTGTGGATCTGGATGCATTTAATGAAAGCACAGGAATTTAGGAAAAACAAACAAAAAAGAGACAAAGTCTTGAAGCTGGTGGCTGCAGTTGTTGTGGCTTTCTTAATTTGCTGGCTTCCATTCCACATTTTAACCTTTTTGGATGCCCTGGCTCGGATGAACATCATTAATAACTGTGACATTATAACAGCCATTGACACTACTTTGCCTTTTGGCATCTGCCTGGGATTTGCAAACAGCTGCATCAACCCTTTGTTGTACTGTTTCATTGGACACCAGTTCCAAGAGAAGCTCCAACATCTCTTTAAGCTGCGAGTCTATCAGTTTAACAGCACCAGACAAAGCTCTTCTTCAAGAAAAGGGAGTTGCCTTAAAGAGGCTGAGACCCCTGGAAACTGTGACAAAGAAAGATTGAACTGTAAACCAACACTGTAGGTAGCAAACAGGGTTTCTTTGGGGCATCTGGGCGCTCTGAATGCCACAACACTGTCCTCTTTTTTCCCTCCATTTTCCAGATTTTCTGGTACAAAATGTTCAAAGGAGAATTTATTTTAATGTACCGAGTCATCTACTTTACCTGCCTTTTGGCAAAGAGCAATGACTGCAGAATTTTTACGTAAGGTGTAATGTCTATAAAATCAACCTATACATGACGATTTAAAACATAAGATTGTATGTAGCTGGGGGCACATGAATGCTGTTTAATACGACATAGGAAAGGGTAACCAAAATAATGCTAATAAAAGACTGTGCAATAGAGAAAACTGTGACTATCACACCCCCTCATTAAAATCTCTTCCGGAAGGAAATAGTTTGGCATGACAAAAACCTGTCAATCATGCTGTAAAATAAGTAAAATACAGATATTACTGTACCTGTTGGTAAGAAAAGATTTTGTTCTGTATTTCATTTAGTGAAAGTATTTGATGAAGAGATCAGATTATTCATGCGTTCTGAAAGAACCCTCCCTGCAACATTGTGAAAACACTGGATTTATTTCCTGTTTGTTTGGATCTGGGACCATTGCAGCAAATAGACAGGAATTGGATCAAAACCAAAACCTTTCAAACCTTGTCCCCAAGCCAGAACTGTTGAAAAATCTATTTTTGGAGGGGAACCTTTTGACTTAGGAGAGCTTTTTGGGTGGCACAAGAGATACACATGCTCTACAGCCTGGCGGGTGGGGTTGCAGGCTGGGATGTGGGAGACCTAATTTCCTGATCTTCGTAACGGAGAGCAGAGTTTTCCATCCCGGGTCACTCAGAATCAGGCAGAGTAGCGAATCGGGCTCCCAGCCATTGTCCTAGGCATCAGAGTCAGTGATACTGACCCATCACAGAACCAGGTAAAGCTCCAAGAAACATTCTGAGTTAGCCAAGATTTCATGTTGTCAGCAGTGTTCTGACCCGTGCTACAAATGAGCAGGGCGCTGGTTGATTCTGGTGGAGCTGGCGGTTAATTGCTTAGCAATTACTGAAACCCAGAATGCCGCTACAGCCACACGCATAATCATATTTGGATAATTGCCTGGTATTTAAAGGGACAGGGTCACGGAACGGAGCTTTTGATCTCCAAATCGCCCCTTGCAAGGTCAGTAATTAGGGGCAATCTTTGGCTCCTCTCTCGTTCTCTGCAGAGAGGCCAAGCACTGAATGAATCCGCAGTTACACACTAGAAATGTGAATGGGCCCCTCCACCGCCCCCGCTCTCAGAATAAGAGTCGTGCGGGTATCTTGTCAGGGTGGCACCTTTTACAAGCGCTACATTCTGGCTGCAGTCTCACTGCCAGCTTGCAGAGGCCAAACTGAAACGTTGTTTGGATTGAGAAACAGTCTGTGCCCCACGTTTGAATCCAACTACACTGAAATCTGTAGCCATATGCGAATAATTAATAGCAACCCCCGTGTGTGACCCAGCAGCAGCCATGTGGAAACTCCCCCTGCAGAAGATTAACACACACAGCCTGGGGTTCACTATTACTCCCTTTGGTGATTTGCACAGCTCTGACGGGGGACCTCTGGGTAGGGTGGGACTTGTCTGCTACACAGATACAGTAAGGGTAATTTATAAGCACTGAGGGCCAGTTTCTGCCCTCGGTTGCACCCATGATATGCTGTAAACCAATGGAATTGTGTGCGTGCCACAGAGGGTGGAAGGCAGTGCAGGAGCTCCTGCTGTCAAGGATATTCATTCCCCCCCCCCGCCGCAGACTGATTGCACTGTTTGTTTCTGCAGTTGCATGGAGATTAAGAACATAAGAACAGCCACTGGGTCAAACCAATGGTCCATCTAGCCCAGTATCCTGTCTCCCAATGCCATATGCTTCAGAGGGAATGAACAGATTAGGGGAATCACCAGGTGATCCGTCCCCTGCCATCCAGTCCCAGCATCTGGCAGTCAGAGGCCTAGGGACACCCAGAGCATGGGGTTGCATCCTTGACCATTTTGGCTAAAAGCTGAAGCTGGGCCTGTCTGCCATGAATTTATCCAATTCTTTTTTTGAATCCAGTTATAGTTTTGGTCTTCACAGCATCCCCTGGCAATGAGTTCCACAGGTTGGCTGTGTGCTGTGCGAAGAAGTACTTCCTTTTGTTTGCTTTAATCCTGCTGCCTATTAATTTCAGTGAATGACCCCTTGTGCTTGTGTTATGTGAAGGTGTAAATAACACTTCCTTATTCAATTTTTCCACACCATTCATGATTTTATAGACCTCTGTCATTTCCCCCCTTAGTCGTCTCTTTCCCAAACTCACCAGTCCCCGGCTTTCTAATCTCCCCTCATATGGAAGCGGTTCCATTCTCTGCTGAGGGGCAGCTCCCAGCTGTGGGTTAGAATACTGGGGTTAGTCAGAGAGCTAGAGCAGGACAAAATAAATAGCCTTGGGCCCCAGGGAGCAGCTCCTGGGTGGGACGGGGGCCCCTCGGCACATGGATCTCCTCAGGCCTATGCACAAAGATGGTCAAGCTGCCTCTGCACCGATTCCTCTTCATCGCTCTCTGGCGCTGGGGATCCTTGCGTGGCGAGGGGCATGAAAGAGGGGGTGAGGGAGATAGGTCCATGCGCATCGCTTGGGGGAATGCACAAGGAGACAATACTCGCACTTCTAAGGAGCCCCTCCCCCCTGTGGGGCCCCTCCCACAGAGAAGTCTGAGGGGTGGCCAAAGATGGGAGCAGGGGCCCCAGAACCAATGCAGAGGCGAAGGGTCTCTGGCAGATCCCCTGGGACTGTGGGGTTTGAGGGGAGAACCCTCTGCTCCTTTGAATAAGTCATCTCTCAACTCCTCCTCTCCCCACGCTGAAAGGGAGACCCTGCGGGAACTGTATGCAGGGATTTCACCGTGTTTCCCCCTGGAGGGGTGCAGGGGGCAGAACTGAGGGGGGGGTTTCTACGTTACAGGGTCTGGCTTTGTCCTCACCAGAACTAAAAACCCCAATTTCCAGTTTCCTGCTCCCAGCTGCACTGCACTCCCGTCTGCTTTAACGAACTGCGCGAGCCTCCAGTTGGGCATCCTGTCTGTGCCGCTGAGCGGAGAAAGCAAAGGCCAAGAACAGCCATTCGTGGGCACAGGCATTGTGGTGGTAAGTGACTTGTTTGCATAAAGTACACAATAAGACAGCAATGTTTAGTACAGCATGTTCTCCCGGAGCGGCCAGCAAGCCTGAGCATGTCTTGGCGCCCACTCAGCAAGCTTGTCCATTTCCTCTTGATTTATTTCACACAAGAATATCATCTTGCCATCCCACAGCTGGCTCGTGTTATGTGGACACCCCTCCCTGCAGCCTGGCCCACATGGGCTGAGATGCAACCGAGCTGTTGTAAAGGGAAATGAATGGCCTGATTGCTGAAATCTTTCCCCAGAAAAGTGATTACATTTTAGTGTAACCTGAGGCTTCCCTCCGTGGACGTGCATGAACCCCAAAGCATTTGAACTACAAATCCCTGAAGCCCGCACTTCCTGCGGCCAGCCTTGCTGGTCGGCCCAGAGGTTGCTTTCTCGAGGAGAATTCCAGGGGGTTTTGTGGCAAGGCAGGCTTTCCATGAACCAGGCCCACTAGCTGTCCTGGGCTACAGTCAAGCTGGGCTTAGGCCTGTGCATGGTCAGATTGCATCGTGCTCACCAGCTGCTGTTGGTCTTTGTCTGGCTATGGCGACAGAGCAGATCTCCACGCTAGGGCTTTCAGTGGCCATTGCCAGCACTGGGGCTGTTGACAGGTTTGCAGGCTCAGGCAGAATTTGTCAGCGCTGCAGCTGAGCGATTGTTCATGGGCTCTGAGGGCTCTCCCAGGTAGAGTAACTTCCATCAGCCCCTTTTAGTCAATTTCTATTTGTGGCCACTAAGGGGGGCAGTGACATGGTTTGGGCTGTGATGTCAGGGAGTAGCCGCTGACCCTCAGGGGCTGTTTAACTTGCTCAGTGTTTTCAGAGACTGGCTGGGGTGAGAACTGAAACTCCAGCCAGCTCAGACCTAGGTGATGCTGGTGGGAAGGGGAAACCGACGAGGTGATCTCAGCCAGTTCAGGTCAGAGGCTAGTTTGCCTTTCCTTTGGGTCTAAATCCTGTATGGTGCTGTCCCCGTTTGTGGGAAATGTTGGCCTTGAAAATCCCTTCCCATTCCGAAGCGGAAGGAAAGACCAAGAGACCCAAAACCTTCACCAAACAAAACATTCCGACGAGTTCCAATCCGGGAATATTCAAATGTAAAATTGCAGTTTTCTCATGAATTGTTTCATTCTGATCAAAACTGACAAGTTTCCATTTTGATTCTCCCAACTGAAAAATCAAAAAATTGATGGAAAGTGACATTTTTCCTGTGGAAAATTTTGATTTGGAGAAAACCACATTTTCTGAAAGGAAATTTTTTTAGTCACAAAATGTCCTGCACCTCTAGGCCTAGTGGATGTGGGCTGCTTTTGGAAGTCCATATAGCAGTGATGACCATGTGTGCATTTGTCTACCTGTGCTTGGATGGGTGTTTGAAACCTTTCTTCTCCCAGGCCAGCTCCCCAGGTGTACTTCAGCCATTGTTGCCTCCAGTCCAGATTATGATGATACACTCTCTCTCACTGTTTCTGAGCACCTGCATCTCTATAGTCCAAGGGAAAGGAGGATTAAAGATTACACAGCTTCTCTCTGCCCAGAGATGGATAATCAAACCTGCACTGTCTTGTTTATGTCACATGGCAGCTCCTGCAGCCTGTAACCTCCTGTATATCCTGTATAGGTAACCCCACTGATTTGAAATCAGCGTGGGCTTTGTATCCTTCCCAATAGGATACATTAGAGTTGGCTAAAATCTTTCAGCCAAAAAACTTTCTGTTTGGAAAATGTGATTTTTGTCACAGTCAGCATTGTTGGCAAGAAAATGTTGATTTCTCCAGTTTTTCAAATTGAAAAAATCCAAACTGTTTGTTTGTTTTTTGTTTTGTTTCAAAGCAACATTTTGAAACAAGAACAACCACAAAAATCATTTTGCTTTTACTTAAAATGCAATTTCATTTTGGTTTTGGAAACCCAGAAATTTCAGTTTTCCATTTGATGTGGCTATTTTAGTGTTCCCCACCCTATTTCCTTCCAATTTTTATTTTCCCCTTTTTCCCCCATGGAAGAAGGGGAGGAAAAAGGGAGAATGAGGGAAAAACATTTTTCTATGTGGTTTGATGTTTTGAACTGAAAAAGTGGGTGTGGGGGGAGGAGGAAAGGGGGAAAAGGGGGAATTTAGAGGTATCCTGCATTTCATTTCAAAGGGTCTTGCAGGAAAAGCAAAATTTTACAATGGAAAACTTTGAAAGGGCATTTTTCCCATGGAAAATTCTTCTGGTGTCCTCCTCAGTCTTCAGAAACGCCTACTCCTGAGAACCGGAGATTAGCGTCTTGTTAGCGTCGAACTTTAGCAGTCAGCAGTACTTCTTCCCTAAGGCATCTCTGCTGGTTTCTACCACTGGCAGACATGACCAATGACTTGTACCAGTTCCACTCTAAC